CTATGTGCTAGGCACTTTACACCCATTATCACATTTAATCCTCACCTCAGCCCTATCTGAATTAGGGACTACCATGATCTTCATTTCACAGATGAGGAAACTGGGGCTCAGAGTGATTAAGTGACTTGCCCAAGGACACACAGCTAATAAATTACTGGAACTGAGACAAACCCCAAGTCTGTTTGATGCTAGAGTTCACTTTATTATCTTGCCCAAGGTCACATGAATAGCTATTAAATGATGGAAGCAGGATTAGAATGCAAGTTGGCTCTCAAATCCTCAGCAGACCGAGGGCTGGCCTTGGAGACCAGGAAGCCTGAACTAAGGGGGTCCCTTCATGGAGCCTTCTGCCCTGGAGAGCTCTGCCTTGCCATCCCCTCCCTGACCTCTGTTTTGCTCAACACCCTGACCACATTCTGTTTTCTGTTGTAATTTCCTTCAGGGCTAACACTGAACCTTCTGCCACTTTTTTTTTTTTAATCTCAATCTGATGCAAAGAGAAAGATGCAAGTTTTGGAGCCAGACAACAATGCTTCGAATACCAATGCTGCTTACCAGTGAATGAACTGCTCTGAACTTCAGTTTCCTCGCTTGTAAAATGGGGACAACTCTTGCCTTTCACTGTTGTGAAGATTTGAGTAAATGCACATGGAGTGCCTCGCATAGTGCTTGGCACATAGCAGGAACTCTCTGAAGGGCGCTTTACCATCATCATCCTCTCTCACAGCACCTAGCTCAGTGCTAGGTTATCACATGCTTGATTTAAATCATCTTTGATTTGCCACAGCACCTAGCATGGTGCGCTACACAGAGCAGATATTCCTGTATGTGGATGGTTGAGTTGAAAACTACAGAGAGCGGGCCACCTGGGTGGCTCAGTTGGTTAAGCATTCGACTTTGGCTTGGTCATGATCTCACATCTCGTGGGTGCAAGCCCCACATCTGGCTCTGTGCTGACAGCTCAGAGCCTGGCGCCTGCTTCACATTCTGTCTCCCTCTCTCTTGCCCCTCCCCTGTTCATGCTCTGTCTCTCTGTCTCTGTCTCTGTCTCTCTCTCTCTCTCTCAAAAATAAACAAACATGTAAAAATTAAAGAAAAGAGAAAGAAAACTGCAGAGAGCTAGAGAGGGAGTACCATGTAAAACTGTCTGGTCGCAGGTGAGAGAGCTCCTTCCATAGAGCCTCTAAGCTGATCTCAGAACCTTGCATAGCCTTGGTCTCCCCACAGGTCAAACTCAATGGCAGCTTCTCCTTAGAGGGCTCACAGAAATGGGAGTTTGCAACATCAGAGGTTTCTAATGTAATCAGATGGATAATGAAAAGGTTCTTCTTCCCAAAGCCTCGAGTGAGTCAGAGCTCTATGCTTGGCTTTGCCCCAGAGAGTACCGAGAAAATGAAATATAGTCTGTATCCTCATGACACCTAAACAAATGGTCGATTCCATGGGTCAAATATCAGCCAGAGGGGTTAAGAGGCATCTCCTGTGAAGGGAGGCGAGGAGCAGCAAGGAAAGGACCATTAGCAAAGGTTGCTTAGTGGGGTCCTGATACAAGGCTGCTCTCAAGGCTAGTACCTGTTTGCCTTAGGATGGGATGTTTGTTTTGCCTTCATGAAAGACTCCGACAAATGACATTATGTCTGATACCCAAACCAAGTTATAAGTGGCTATCACGTGTGGCTGCCCTCTGGGGCAGAGGAAGGAACACTGCTCTGTGGGCTGGGGAATAGGAGTTTGATAACCAGCTCAGCACATGACTATCTATGGGAGTTCACCAGTTCCCTCTGCCTCCTAGACCACCACAATGTGAAGATGGACAAGGGAAAGTTCTGATAGATCTTGAAGAGCTAAATCACCTCAAACCTGTGCTTCTCAGATTTTAGAATCTTCAGATACGACTTCAGCAAATTTAACTAAAATAGGGGGAAAAATCTGTTTTCAGGGCTGTCCCTCCCACACACTTCTTAATTTCAGGGAATGTCTTAAAATCGTGTATTTTGTGCATTTGGGTATCTCTGCATTTTGGTGGAAGGAGAAGGTTAAAGCCTTAGATTAAAACCTTGGATAGGTGTGCGCTAACCTCCTGCTCCCCAAATACATACCCATATGTATTTATAGAGTTTTATTATATGTTTATATAATTTTAAAAACAGAGGTTAAGATTCTACCTCTAGGTTGAGGACTTAAATGTAAATCACCCTAAGCGAACTTCTGGTTCCCCACCCCTGAATATCAGGTTATAGTGATTATCAAAGGTAGACAGTAGGAAGCCCTAGATGCAGGCTTCTGGACCAGAGTGAAAGAGGGCATCAAGCTTTACTTTTACTACTTTGCTCTGCCATATGTCTACTAGCCACATGACCTCAGGAATGTACCAAATCTCTTGGAACCACGGTTTTCTTATCTGTCAATGGACAATCGTTACACCACTCTCAAAGGATTGTTGTGAAGAATAAACAAAAATAAGTAAATGCTTGGCTCTCAGTAGGAGCTCAATAAATGTGACTTCCCTTCTAGTACTAGTCACTCAGTTCTCAAAATTTTCTGCTTGGAAGACAGCTCTCTCTACAACAATCAATCCACCCTCTTCCTCAAATGTAAATTGGTAGAGTCACTTTGGAAAACAATATGGAGGCTTCCCCTGAAATTAAAAATAGAACTACCACATGATCCAACAATTCCACTTCTAGATGTATATCCACAGTAAATGAAAATAGAATCTTGGGGTGCCTGGGTGGCTCAGTTGGTTAAGCGTCTGACTTCAGCTCAGGTCATGATCACAGTTTGTGAGTTTGAGCCCCACATCGGTTTCTGTGCTGACAGCACAGATCCTGCTCCAGATCCTCTGTCTCCCTCTCTCTCTGCCCCTCCTCAGCTCACACTCTCTTTTTCTCTCAAAAATAAATAAACATTTAAAAAAGAAGAAGAAGAAGAAACCAGAGCTCAAAGAGATATCTGCACTCCCATGTTCATTGCAGCATTATTCACAATAGCCAAGATAAGGAAGCCATCTAAGTGTCCATCAACTGGTGGATGAATAAAAAATACAGAGTATACATATACAGTGGAATATTATTCAGCCAAGAGAAAGAAGGAAATCCTGCCATTTGCTACAACATGGATGAAACTTGAGAGCATTATGCTAAGTGAAATAAGATAGACAGAGAGAAACAAATACTATGACATCACTTATATGTGGAATCTGAAAGCCAAACTGATAGAAACAGAGTCGAGTGGTGGTTGCCAGGGGTTGGGGACAGCGGAATGGGAAGATGTTGATCAAAGGGTACAAACTTCCATTTATAAGATGACTAAGTTCTGGGAAACTAAGGTACAGCATGGTGATTATAGTTTCAAGTATACAATACTTGAAAGTTGCTACAAGAGAAGATCTTAAATGTTCTCATCACACACACAAAAAATGATATTTATGGGACATGATGAAGATGTTTGCTAACACTATGATGATATCAACTCACACAATGTGATGTCAGTTACATCTCAATAAACCTAGGGGAATAAATCCACCCCCTACAGTGGTTCCAGAGGAAAAGTGAGACACAGCTCCTAAGTGCTCAACTCTCAATAGACTGTAGTTGAGTTCAATTCCTAGCTCCTCTCCCACGATGGTTGTGTGGACTCAGGCAAAGAGTTGAACTTCACGGTACCCTGTCCCTTCCACAAAATGGAAATGATAATGAGAACAGCCCTCCTTTCTTAGGATTATGGGAACATGCAAATGAACTTAGCACACTGTCTGGGACCTAATAAGTGTGGAACAAATGTTAACTAATGAAAGCCTCTCCTCTGTACATTTCTTCTCTCCTGAATACCATATGCCCACCTTTGGAAGTGTGTCCCTATAACTGAATGTCTAACATGGATATCAGGCAGAAAAGGAAAAAAATCAATAAATAATCTGGATTTCCCAAGTCCCTTCCTCAGATGCCTGGAGGTCTCAATGCTGCCACTGCCCCCCACCCCCGTCACCCTCACCCCCAAATAGCCCATTTGCTTGTTCCTCATTTATTTCAGGTCTTGACTCAAACATCACTTAAGTGACATCCAGAGAACCCATTTATAATTTCAAATACCCCTACCCCCAACACACACACACACACACACACACAAACACACACACACAAACACACACACACACACATACACATACATACACACACACACACACACACAAACACACACACACACCATTCCATTTCCCCCTTTGTTTTATTTTCTGTTATACCTGTCAGCATAGGGCACACCTCATGATTTGCTTACTAATTTGTTTATTGTCTGTCTCCTTCCAGTAGAATGTAAGCTCCTGGAGCTCAGGGCCTTGTCCACTTGCTTCAATTGCTATGCCCCCAGCATAGGCAGTAGGCACCCAGTTAACAATTTTGTTGAATGAATAAGTGAATGAGTGAGTCAGTGAGTGAATAAACGAATGAATGAAGAGAAGCCTCTGGGCTTACCAAGGAGGTAACGGCTGGGGGTTGATCTCACATCTGACTCAAGTCCCTCTTACCTGCCTAACCTGTGAATTTTAGGCTCCACACAAGCTGCACATCCCCCTAAATCTGGGTGCTGATTCCAGACGCAACCCACCCCCCATGAGGGGTAAGCGCCCCACGCCACTTTTGAGACCTAAGCGTGAACAGGAGGAGCAAGAATCGCAGCGGGCCACCTCAGGGTGGGGGACGGGGGTCCCCACGCTCAGGTCACCCTTCCCCTTCACGACGCTGGTTGATGGGGGAGGGTGGTGCGCAGCGCGGCCGGCCCAGGGCTGCCCAGGGTGGCGGCGTCGGGGCTGCGGGCTCCTTCGCCAGACCCGCATTGCCCCCTAGTGCCGCGCGGAGTCAGGGCGCCGGGCTCCCCCGCCTGATGTCACCGCCGTGCAGTCAGCCCAGAGGCGGCTGGTTGCGAGCAGACCCTCCTCGGCGCTGGCTGGGCTGGGCGCCGCTGCCCGCGCCCTCGCCGCCGGCCCGGCGAAGCTGCGCGGCCCCCTGCCCGCCGCCCCACCCGCGCCGCTCCCCGCCTGGCCGGCCCGGCGCGCCTGACGCGGACCATTAAACTTGGAGCTGCCGCCTCGGCCCCTCTCTCGCCTCCGCCTCCCTCTGACAGCCGGGCGAGCGGGCGGCTCGGTGCAGGCAGGAGACGCGCCGCCGGGCTGGGCTGCCCGCGGGGGAGATGAGTCCTCGCCGGGAGGGCGCCTCCGGGAAGAAGACCGAGGGCGAAGCAAAGTTGCAGGGCAGCTGAGGAGCTCGGCCGCAGCCCTTCCAGCCCGCTCACCCCAGGCTATGGAGGGCCGACTCTAAAATGAATCCCGATCTGGACACCGGCCACAACACATCAGCACCTGCCCACTGGGGAGAGTTGAAAAATGCCAACTTCACTGGCCCCAACCAGACCTCGAGCAACTCCACACTGCCCCAGCTGGACATCACCAGGGCCATCTCCGTGGGCCTGGTGCTGGGCGCCTTCATCCTCTTCGCCATCGTGGGCAACATCGTGGTCATCTTGTCGGTGGCCTGCAACCGTCACCTACGGACGCCCACCAACTACTTCATCGTCAACCTGGCCATTGCCGACCTGCTGCTGAGCTTCACCGTGCTGCCGTTCTCGGCCGCCCTGGAAGTGCTTGGCTACTGGGTGCTGGGACGGGTCTTCTGTGACATCTGGGCCGCCGTGGACGTCCTGTGCTGCACGGCCTCCATTCTGAGCCTGTGCGCCATCTCCATCGATCGCTACATTGGGGTGCGCTACTCTCTGCAGTACCCCACACTGGTCACCCGCAGGAAGGCCATCTTGGCGCTGCTCAGCGTCTGGGTCTTGTCCACAGTCATCTCCATCGGGCCTCTCCTTGGGTGGAAGGAGCCCGCGCCCAATGATGACAAAGAATGTGGGGTCACCGAAGAACCCTTCTACGCCCTCTTCTCCTCCCTGGGCTCCTTCTACATCCCTCTGGCGGTCATTCTGGTCATGTACTGTCGCGTCTACATCGTTGCCAAGAGGACCACCAAGAACCTGGAGGCGGGAGTCATGAAGGAGATGTCCAATTCCAAGGAGCTGACCCTGAGGATCCACTCCAAGAACTTTCATGAGGATGCCCTCAGCAGTACCAAGGCCAAGGGCCACAACCCCAGGAGTTCCATAGCTGTCAAACTTTTTAAGTTCTCCAGGGAAAAGAAAGCAGCCAAGACCTTGGGCATTGTGGTCGGTATGTTCATCTTGTGCTGGCTACCCTTCTTCATCGCTCTACCACTTGGTAAGTTGGGGAACAGGGCATTTTCGGATCTTGGGTTTACTGACGAGCTTACCGTAAAGTTTTTCGCGGGGTTTGTTTTTTATGCTGCCTGTGTGTGTTTGGAGATTGGGGAATACTGTTTGTTCTGCAAAGGCTTTGCGGTTTGGGTAGCTGGCTAAGAACCAACTCAGGTGTTAGTGGAACACACTAAGTAAGGTGCTAGTCTCTCGAAAGAACCACAGGAGGAAAATCTGGTATGTGGAATGACTCATTCAACAGCATCGGTTTAATAATTAAAAAAGGACAAGGACACTGGACTTGAACATCACACCAGCGTTATCTCAGTAGTAATGATGTGCGGGCTAAGGCAGCGTCACAAATGCAGCATACAAAATAGTTTGTAGTTACCGCAGACGCAGCATTTGGGAAGCAGGCAGGCGGCTCGTACGCAGAAAGGCAGTTTTCATTCAGCATTTCCAGGGCTCTTGCAGAGACCCACGCTCCCCATGAGCTTTGCAGAGGCTGCGTTCTCCCCTCCTCCCTTTACCGCTTGCTATCACCTCAATGCCCTCCGTTCATTATGAGTTAATAAGAGCATTTTAACAGCTGCACGGCCCCATCCAGCCTTTGAGTTATCTAAAGCTTGAGATTTGAAAGAGAAGGAAGACAACCAGGGGGTCACATGCTTTCGGTTTTTACCCAGAAATGTTCTAACTCTGGTGATTCATGGAACACCCAGATCTAAATTGCAGTGGTCCCTCACCTTCAGCTACCAAACACCAAATCCTGCTAGAATGAAACTGAGCTCTTCCTCTCCTATAAACATATGTCCATCTTCTTTTGGTTAATGGTCTAAGTTGTTCAAAAAGCTTCCTGATTTTTTCCAAGAAGACAAGGTCTGGTACATAGGTAAATCTACAGGAAGGTACTGTGACGTGCTGTCTACATGGCTTGGGAAACACTTGTCCCTTCTCTAAGGCACTGACCTGCTTTGGTTTCCTCTCCTATCCCTGGGGGACACTCCAGAAAATGAATGGAGGGAGGTGATCATTGCAAAGTCATGTGCCATGATATCAGAAGAGGTAACGGCTGCTACGTGCCATGGACCATATAAATGCCTGCAATCACACCCAGGGCTCAGTTAGAACTGAACATAATCCCTCAAATAACTAAAATTCTGAAGGCACACTACTTTCAAGAGAAATGGGCGAATGGAAAGAAAGCAAACTGATATCAGGAGTTTCCATTTTTAAAAGATAAACAAAAAAAGCTTTTTAACCTACTCTCCATGTTGTCATTTCTAAGGCAGGCTTGCAAGTTAATGCCTTTCGGAAATATTTTTAGTGCATTACGTGAAAAGCGTTTGAAGCTGTACTACACACACACACATCCACCACCACCCAGAAGTGGTCACATCTCACTGCAGAGAAGCTTTTTTTTTCCTCCAAGGTCTTGGGGTCCTTTTGTAGGCTTGTTGGGTTAAAGTGGGTAACAGTTCACACTGCTTTAGATCATGGTTGTACACAGAAGTGATTTGGTCATGTATTAGCTATGTGACCTTGGGCAAATGTCTGCTCACCTGTGAGCCTCAGTTTCTCCAACTGCAAAATAGAACTAATTACTATTTGCTCCATGGGATTTGCACTAATGCATGAAAAGGACTTAATACAGTGTCTGGTGCACAGCAAAAGCTCAGTGGAAGTTAGCTTAGTGCTACAAACGAGATCCCATTCGCCCCTCAATTACAGCTGTGTATTCTCTTTCTCTACTCACTTGACAATCCCACACTTGTTATAAAAGGCTCAGGAGAGAACTGAGTCCTTCTCCTTTCTTCCTTCTTCCTCCATACCCCAAGCCTATAGAGGCTAGGACCAGAGCATCCTCAGGAAGAAGGCCCCAGAAGTATACAGGGAATGGATCAAAAGTGTAAACTTTCACTCAAGGGGGCAAGAGAAACCAGTCCAAACAGGGGAAGAGGCTGTCCGCATGCTGATATAGGAAGAGCACTGCCCTGGGATTCTAGAGCACTAGATTACTAACGTGAACTTTGCCATCAATCAGCTCAGTTATCCTAGGCTTGTTTTACCTCTCTGGGCTTCAGAACTCACTTCCAGGGAACAAGAGGGTTGGACTAAATCAAGGGCTCTCAAACTTTAATAAAGATCAGAATCATCTGTGGAACTTGATAAACCTTCAGCTTCTTAGATAACCCACAGAGAATCTGATTCAGTAAATCAGACAGGTCTCAGGAATCCTCATGTTTAACAAGCCCACCAGTTGATTCTGAAGAGGTAGTCTACAGACCAGGCTTTGGAGAATCACTAATCAGAGGATCTCAGCTCCCTTCAGGCTCCAGCTTCCTGGACACCAAGGTTTAAATGTTGCAAAGCTTAGCCCTTCCCCCAGACACATGGTGGTGCAGATTGATGTGACTTCTCTGTGGGTCCTGCTCTTCAAACTCATCCTCGGTTTCATGTCACTCACACTACCCCCACCTTTCCTCCCTTTCTGTTCATGACTTTCTGAGACCTTAACCCTGGATTCCATGGCATGCTCTCAGAACTTGTTTCTCCTGTCCTTGCCATGGAACCTTTCCACACATCCCTGCCGCTATCTCCCAGAGGTCTCCCGGTGTGCTGTCCCTAAGCTACTCCACCCACACCTTCTCCCCTGGCTGGCTGGCCTTGGCAGGTAAGAAATACGGACTCCAGGCCTTGGGTTTGGGATGGACTCTGAAAGGTACTCAAGAGCTTCAAACAGAAAAGGTGCTTCGTCAACGTGCTCTTCCTAATTTAAGAGCATCCCAGCAACATGGAGATGTGGATTGCTACTTCCCCTGAGTTCAAATAACACCCAAACAAAACAAGCATGATGTAGAACAATAACTCTTTTGGAATCTGAAGAAGGTTCCAAATTCGAAATTTTCCATGAAATGCTTTTCACTCACAAGGAGAGAAAGCAGATCTAGGGGAAGACAATCATTGGCAAACAGTGAAGTGCAGGTAGGAGTAACTTCTCATTAGCAACAGACTTCCAGGTGCCTGGCTGGCATGAGATTTCCATAGCTGTGTTTGTCTTCTCTGTGGGAGAGAAGGGTTGGGATCCCCCCTGGGAAAGAGGGAAAATAGTCATGCCCTCTGCAGGGTCCTAGTGAGGGGCCCCATTTGTTTTCCTTCCTTGCTTATTTTTATTTTTGGGAGCAGGGTTGGGCTGCCTGCAGGGCTGGGTCTCTCATCTCCTGTGGAGCTCTCCCCACCTGTAACACCCTCCCTACCTCCTCCCTGTCCTTCTGTGGCCTCAGACTAAGTTGGGCCGAGGACCAGCTCTTACTAGGGAGCAGGGATGGACACCACCACACAAGGACCTCTTTATTCAGCCCCTGGAATCAGGCCATGGAGGGACAGGAAATAATTGGAATATAATATAGTAGCATTTCCACTCCATAGGCCATGTGCAAATGTCCAAGGAATCTTCGGCTCCCAGGCATTATAATGAAGGCTCGCTCCCACCTACCTAGGGAAGACCTGGTGAGGGTCTTGAGAAGTGGCTGGGCTACTGAGGGATGTGCATTGCATTGTGGGGATAGATTGGGGGGTCGGGGGAGGGTAGCAGGAAGTATGGGGCAGCCAACTGGTAGCTGGGCTTACTGCGTTGTTTAGAAAACACTGGAATCTTGCCTCGCTCCAAATCTTTCTTCCGTCTTTTAAAATGCTGAAAGGCACCAGGAAGCCATTATTGAACTAACTGCTTTCCCCTCCAAATAAATGAAGGTCAATTTCAAAGAAACAGTTGTGTTCTCATAGTACTGGGACCAAATAGGAATCTCTCTCTCCATTGATTTGATTCTCTACTCCTCTCATTCAAATTGGGGCTGATGAATTCCTGCCTCCCGCAAGAGCACAGGGGAGGAGGAGGGTCTCAGAGATAACTCAGGACAGGGCCACCCCCACAAATATACACACTAACCCTCCAGCTCTGAGGTTTCAAAACACAGGGATTTGAGTTGCTCACCAAGAAAGCAATTGGTTTGAGTGAGGGAGAAATTTTTACACACAGGGAATCCTTCCTGGAAAAGGAAAATCTTTCTGAGGGAAAATACATTCGACCATTTGTGAAATCCTTAATAAAGACTTCCTAATGCATCTCCTCTGTGCTACATGGCCCCTGCCTGCAGGATGTTTACCACCTCGTGAGATCTTATTTTTATGAAACAAGTACTATATGCCAGACATTCTTCTAGGCCCTCTACAGACATTATCTCATTAATCCTCACAGCTACCCTGACAGGAGAGAGTAACTGCTCCCTCTCTACAGATGAGTATGTGGGAGGAGCTCAGAGCCAGAGCTGAGCTCAGAGAGGTTAGCCTTCTTGCCCCAGGTCACATAGCAAGCAAGTGAACGATAGAGCCAAGCATTGAATCCCAGTCTGTCAGGACAGGCACACACCTAGGAAACATCTGGTCTTCTTGCTCCCCAGTCCCAATCTCCTCTCATAGCAAATGTGCTCAAAAACTCCAGAGCCACCATGTCAAAAGCTGGGATTTGTACTTCTGTTACAAAACCCTGCCTTTCTTCCACTCCCCACTCGCCTCTGCAAAAAGACTCATCCAGAAAACGTTAGGGGAGGTCATCCACACTCTAGCTCAGGGCTAGATTTTCTCCATACCTCCTGCCCTGTGTAGGATGTTGGTCTCCCAGTCTCTGGGACTTCAGTCACTCCAGCCAGAGGAAAAGGTTGGACCTTGCCCTTTATCTGAGAATCTAGCTCTATGTCTTCAATCATTCATTCATTCATTCATTCATTTATTGAATAAGTATATATTTTTTTGATGCCTACTGTGTTTTGTGCTGGAGATACAATAGTGAGCAAAATAGCTATGTTCATGTTCTCATAGGATTTAGTTCTAGAGGAGAATGCAGACTATTTGAAAAACACATGCACACAAATACATATGATCACAAATTGCAACAAGCAACTTGAAATAAAGGGGAGAGATGCTATTAGAAGTAAATAACAGGAG